AATGACCTCATTAACTATAAGTGATCATTCATTTATGAGATTATAATTTCCTGTGCTGGTGGTCAGAATGACACACTGCATATTTAGCATTTTCAGTTATATATATTTTTTAATTTAATTTAAGTCAGATTAGTCACAAATTTAAAAAAAACCTGCTGTTATTTGTCTCTGTTCCAGCCGTATTTAGAAAAAAAAAAAATTGTCATTTAGATAGATATCATAGGTCCTAAAATGATTCCATCCCATAATGCTACAGTGCAGACTAGTTCATCAGTAATATGTTAATATGCTGTAGGATTATTTAGTCATATTTGACAACAATTCCGTGTCTAAATTCTAGGGTGTACCTGGAGAGGGTGGAGCTGCCGGTGCTACTGGACCCAGAGTAAGATCCCAGTCTGATTTGAATCTTGAATGTTGTATCTGTTAACTTTATAGAGACTGATGTTTCACTCTGTTTACCTTTTAGGGAGAGCGTGGTTTCCCTGGAGAGAGAGGACCTGCCGGTACTCAGGGTCTTCAGGGACCCAGAGGTCTGCCTGGAACCCCCGGAACTGATGGACCTAAGGTGAGTCCTGCAGACAGATTAGATTAATGAGGCGTCACACTAGTGGCTCATACAGTAGGCCTGTCGGAATATAATAAATAGAGCTGACAGTAATAACGTGTAGACATGTATCTGATGTCGTAAAACCTGCTAACATAAAAAAAAAAACTCAATCAAGATTATTACTCATCACCGCGTGGGGTTAACACGTATGACATCATCAACATCATCTCATCACAATCTATTTCAGATAAACAGCAGGTTAGCGAGATATCAACAGAGCAGAAACTCAATTTGACAATAATTGTGTATAAATTTGTGACCAGTCGTCATGACAGTAAGTCGTATCGCATGCTAAGAAATATACACTCTATTGACTGTAAATAAACAATACCTCAGCAAAAAAAAACCAAAACAACCTAAAAACAGACAAAGTAAGCCAGCCACCAAAAAAGGAACATTAGTGTCACGGGTATGGAAAGAACCCAAAAGCAGCACAACCACGTCTGGTTTAAAGACTCCAAACTCCAGGTAGTACAGGTTGACGAGTGATCAGGAGAAAACAGGCAAAGATAACAGTCAGGAAATAGAAGACAGAAGGCTGGTGGGTTTACCAGGGCAGGGACAAGACGAAGGTCAAACGTCAGGTCGAAGTAGGAGACACAGTTAGGAAACGAGTGCTGAGAAGAGCAGGTGGAAGCAGTTGTCCTGATTAGGGGGCGTGGCTGCAGGAGTGACTGAGCAGAGGTGGAGGTTTTCCACTGCAGAGGAGCAGACGGTGACGATTAGTGGTTAATCACATTTAAATGTATGCGTTTGGCAGACACTTCTATCCAAAGCGACTTACAAGAGGAGAATAAACAATCAAGCTTCATGAGAGGAACTCTTGAAAAGAGACTGCCATTTATTGAAGTGGGATTTCTTAACTAGGGCTCTTTCCTAGAGCAGTGAATCCCAAACATTTGGTCAAAACCCAACAATAGGTCACTAAATTTTTTTTTTTTTTACTCTACAAAACCAATTAGCAATACATGACTGGGTATCATCTGTATGTTGTTATTCTGTCTGTCAGTATAGGTTAACCCAGGTCTGGGCAAACTAAGGCCCGCGGGCCAGATGCGGCCCGTTTGGCTTTTTAATTGTGTCCCGTGAATCAAAAAGTTAATTAAAAAGAGTTAATGTCATTAAACACAGAAAGGTACTACAGTATACTGTACAAATAAATACTTCGACAGATCTTGTATACTTTCTGTTTTGTGCAAAAGTTTAAGGCAGTTGTAAACTTTTTTTTTTTTTTTTTTTTACAGTTTTTACTACAATTTACAAATATTTAAAACATGTGGAGAACCAAAAAAACTAAAATACTGAAAGAAATAATTTTTTTCCAATAATAAGTACCATTGGATTTACGGCAATGACTGTGTACTCACCCCACTAAAATCAAGAATCTGCAGTTGCATACATTAATATTTATGTTTCAAGAAAGAAATCAATTACATACGTATGAAAATATTCATTTAAAACATGATAACAATGCAGAGTATAAAAATAAAATTTAAAAAAATGAAATTTTAGTATGAAAATATTCATTTAACACATAATAACAATGCAGTATAAAAATAAAATTAAAAAAAATGAAATGTTTAAATTGACCCTACTCATGTGTACGTTAAATATAATACAAATAAATAAATAAATATATAAAAGTTGACTGACGTTGCTTAAAGACTGTGCACAAACAAAGGTTCAAATCTTCTAGAATTTAATTTAAGATCCAACTTTGACTGGTTAGGCGTTTTCCAAATGCAGGGAAACTTTCAAAGCAACGGAAACATTTTTAATTCCAGATTAAGGCCAAAGAAGAGAAGAGATTATAAACAGATTTCAGATTTCAGATTTGACAGGAGTCAGTGACACATAAATAATAATGAAGTGTGTCTGTGCAGGAGCTGGAGTACAGCCTGCATAGGCAGCAGCCCCTCAAGGCTAGAATACAGTAGTAATGTATTTATTCCCAGTGCTAACATGGAGACACTGCCCCGTGGTTATGTTTTAATGACTGTAGATAAGCAGCAGCAGCAGCAGCAGCAAGTAGTGTTTGTGCATCTGATCTTCAGTCTGACGCGTGAACACAAACCTCAGCTCTGACACTTTAAACTCCAAACACAATCAAAGGCTACACATACTCTGCATACTTTTGACAAATTTTTTTTTTTTTTTTTTTTGATAACAAGTTATTTCAACGTTCTTGAAATACCGAACGAAGAAAAGTTATGTCAAAAGTAAAGTCTTCGGGATCAAGGCCTGTCGCAGTAGCTCTTACTGTTTTGTGCTTTTATTTTTCCCGTAATTGAAAAACTTCAGGCGGAACATGCCGGGGACAAAGACGAAGATACTTCTCTTTGTGAATGGCAACCCTTGATTTCTGAAGAGACAAAGACAACATTTGTAGTGTTTTCAGCGACAGATTTAATTGTTTAATTATTTAAAAAACTAATTTAAAAAAAACGATGACTACCTCACACTCACTTCGAGAGGTTTGAATAGAAACACGGAACATTTTCAAACCTAGCAGGGTTTGCTTATGACAAACTGTGGTGTGAAAGGAGAATTTTTCTTGCCAGAAAGAATCAGTTGTTCTGAATTTTACAAGGCAATGAGCAAGAAGAAGAAGAGGAAAATATTTCAGCTAGACAGACAGCTAGCTTGCCAGTAGCACATCATAGCACATCATATACTAATGCCCCCAATATATCCCATCAAGCACTACACATTCTATAGTTCTTTCAACCTTGGGGTCGCCTTAAATTCAAATGGGGTCACATGAAATACTGATAATAATATTTAATTTCTAAATCAATAAACAGGGAGCTATCGGACCTGCTGGTGCTGGTGGATCTCAGGGACCTCCTGGTCTGCAGGGAATGCCTGGAGAGAGAGGAGGCGCTGGAATTCCAGGACCTAAAGGAGACAGAGTGAGCCATGACGGGTCATCGTTAACGTTTAAAATGAACGTTTTTGTTATAATCGGCTAAAACAATCATTGGTTCTTTTACTCAAAGGGTGATCTTGGAGAGAAAGGACCTGAGGGAGCGGCTGGTAAAGACGGCGGCAGAGTAAGTTTTCCTTGTGATTTATTTTATGTTCATGGATGGCTACAGTACATTGAATAGAAATTTTTGGTTCAAATTATGGTATGAATTTTGATTGTTTTGCTGCATCTTTCTTTACCTCAGGGTCTGACTGGTCCAATTGGTCCTTCCGGTCCATCTGGTCCCAACGGTGAGAAGGTGAGTCGTCTTTCATTGTTGACGCTGGACTTAATCTGCTGTTAAATAAATTAAATAAATTCTAAAATGTGTTTTATTTTGAAATTTTATTTCGAATAATTTACCAAGCCTCCATTCATCTCTATGGAAGTTGCTTAACCAGCTTCCTTTTTATAGATCTATAGTCAGCCTCCGCTGGAATAGACATGTACAGTATGTGTTGACTTATATATGTATGAGTATATTAGCGTGGCACGACTGGTGTGCAGAACTGGCCAGTAGAGGTCATCTAGCGTGGCACTACTGCTGTGCAGAACTGGCCAGTAGAGGTCATCTGATTTTGAGATAAATGCGGGAATGTTTTTAGTTTTTTAATTTCAATCTATGTAAGAAAGTTAATATGTTCACCTTTGACCCCAGGTCTGCTGCAAAACGTGTCTGACGATTCTTTGCTTTTCAGGGTGAATCTGGACCTGCTGGACCTTCTGGGGCTCCTGGTACTCGCGGTGCACCTGTAAGTGGCCCCCAACACAAAAATAGTGAAAAAAAGTGAAAAGTTCTAAGTCGTTTTGGAAAAATGATTTCATTATGAAAAATAACAAAGCTCTTTCTGTGAACACGAGTTCGAGTGGTGTTTACATCGGAGGATTCTTTTCACATAAAACCAAACGACCAAAAGGAAAAAAACAGATCGATAGAGTTTGATGAAAACCCGTTCCAAAGCTTCGGCCCTTTTCACAGGTTTCCATTCAGGCTTTGTTCAAAATAATTATGTTTGCTTTGATTACAAAATTGGTCATTTTCTGAAATAAAACAAGACGTAACATTATGATAAAAGTGATGGAGACACCTTGTCTCCACAGACTGCTTTGACATAATAATGTCTGTCTCTGAATCTGTTTGACTTACACTTTTTTTTTCTTTTTACAATTACAATTTTTCTTATTACACTTGGTTAACGTGACTTCTTTTTTTTCTTTCCTCTCCCTTCAGGGTGACAGGGGTGAGACAGGGCCACCAGGACCTGTTGGATTTGCCGGACCCCCTGTAAGTACAAGACATAAAACATAGCACGGAAGAAACAACTAAGTGGAAATGAAAAGTAGATTTCAGACTTTATAACTTTAAGAAAAAATTCCTTCATTTTTACACTTGATAAAAAAATCTCAGGTATGTTGAAATGACAAAAAGCTCCTTTTTTTTCCATTAATTTCCTTTTCCTCAGTCTTCACTCAGTTTTCTTTTATTGTAGAGAAAGTCATTAGTGTGCTACAATTCCATGTCTTCAAACCCCTCTATCACCAAAACACCAGGATCTTATTAATTGAATTGTTTTCAATTTGAATTTTCTCTCCGGGTAAAAAGTTCATTAAGTATTTTGGGACCAATAAATCATTCAGAAAGATCCAGCACAGTCACCCAAAAATAGTAGTTGTTTCAAATTAAAATGGTTACCCTCACCAAACCCGTCTCACACATGCCAGACCTCAGTGCATTTCTACGGTGGCCCTGAAGGTCAAAACACAAGGTTATAACAGAAATCACAACAATGACACTTTAAATTACCAAAAGGGTAGGGACAACACATCTTGATTCTGATTGGCCAGAACCTGACGGCGTAACATCAGCTCCTGTTTCTACCTAGCCGTGTCCCTGCAGGACTTTTAAACCGTGTTGGAAAGAATGGAAGACGAGACGGCGTTAATAGAGGAATATTTTGAAAGAGGACATACATATTATACCGCAGCGGTAAAATGAGTCAGAGCCTCAGAGCCCTAAAAGGACTGGTGTTATTGTAATGTGAATGTAATGTGTTTTATTATTAGGAAGCAGAATGAAAATATTTGTCGTACGTTGATGTTGTTGATTTGTCGTCCAGGGAGCCGACGGTCAACCTGGAATCAAAGGAGAGCAGGGAGAAACTGGTCAGAAGGGAGACGCCGGGGCCCCCGGACCTCAAGGGCCATCTGGTGCCCCTGGACCTGCAGTGGGTGTCATTATTAACATGTCAGTACATCATAATGGTACAATCCACAGTTAGCTGACCAAATGTGTGTTTTCCGTTCCAGGGTCCTACAGGTGTGTTTGGACCCAAAGGAGCTCGTGGAGCTCAGGGACCATCTGTAAGTGACTCTTTTTTTTGTGTGTGTGTTCAGAAAGTGAATTGTTCATTTTGTGCCTATTGTGTCTAAACCTATGTTTGACCTTTGTGTGTCAGGGTGCCACCGGATTCCCAGGAGCTGCTGGTCGTGTCGGTCCACCTGGTGCCAATGTAAGTTCAGTTCTTTTCTTAAAGGCCTCTCCCGTTATTTACCAGGTGCAGTTGAGTTCTTAAAAAAAAAACAGCAGAGAGAAAAACAGCTTTGAGGTGAGCTTTGATTTATGTTTTTTTTTTCGAGGCAGTCTAATGTTCTGCGGGGCCATTTTCAGCGGGAACACTTTTTTTTTTTTAATTTGCACCTGAAGAGAACACGACTCTTGCTGTTTCAGCACCTCCTCGTACCAAAACAGTGCTCGTGACGCAGTGGGAAGAATTTACAGACTTGCTGGAAGGAAGTGAAACATAATGTGAGAAACAAGTCTGGCTGCTAATTTGAGCTGCTCCATGTGTTAGCAAACAGATTATTTACAGATTTACAGGCACCGAGCAATTCAGTGAATAAGACCTGGCGAGTTCAGCATCATGTGTGAAGAAGTAGTGGTTAGTGATAACCACATTACATCGCAGATTTTTATTGATCCGATTTTTTTTTAGGGGGGGGGGGTTTAAAAATGTGGATTCTCGTTTTGAAATTGAGATTAGCTACCGGTAGCTTTGTTTACCTAGACTAGATCGTACACAGCATACTATTGGCTAATACGATACGTACTCGGTGTACTTGTGTTCTTCATGCTGATTGGCTCATGCTTCTCCCCTTGTCTGTCGGACACTCATTTTGCGTTGCCATTCTACAACTCTACTGCGTATACAATTGTGTGGGAACGGGTAACACCATGCTGCTACAACATATATTTATTATATATAATATATAATATATTTAGTTTTGAAGACTACTAATTTGATGCTGTGACGTCTTTGTTAGCATGTAATTGTAATGCACAAGTAATTCAAAAAGCTAGCCTAGCTAAGCTTCGCTAATTCTGCCTATGTTCTTTCTTTCGACCTCTCTTCTTCTTGACGAACTGCCAGCAGCTGGTAGTCTTTGGGTTACATTACTGCCACCTGCTGAATCTATTTTGTATTGATTTCCACCCATAGGCACAAAAGAAAAAAATAGCAGTTAAAAACACCACAACAGGCACGAAACAAACAAATGAATGAATAAAAGCAAAAAAATAGCAGTTAAAAACACCACAACAGAGTTGTATGTAGACTTCCTGTGACTGCAGCGACTGCAACTCCAGTGGAGATAATAAAGGGACCTGTTTATGCTTCTGGGCAGAATTAGGAAAGTCTAATTTAATAGTTATTTTTGGGACGACGACCAGACGGATTAGACGTGACGGTGTAGACTGTGTGTTAGATGGGGAAGACGAGTGGACATTGGTCAGTAATGAGACAGGAACAGAGTCACTGGCTAATGAGGCAAAGGTGTCTCTCAGTATCTGTCAGTGCCGAGACAGATAAGAGCAGCCGACGTGCGGCTGATTGCACCGATGAATACGCTGACATGACAGAGAGCTTTCAGCACGTGCACGCTCGGAGAGGCGGAACACGGGAATTATGGTAATGTGATTATGAGGGAAGCCAAACCACAATAGACCTGGAGCGTCACAATATTTACATATTACATTTTACTCTTATAAATGCTCAATGTCATGTGACTGTATAATCAACGTGTCACGTAATCCTTTTCTCACACCTCTTCTCAGGGTAACCCTGGACCTGCTGGTTCCGCTGGTCCCCCCGGGAAAGATGGACCCAAAGGTGTGAGGGGCGACGGTGGACCTCCAGGCAGACAGGGTGACGCTGGTCTCCGCGGTCCCGCTGGCACCCCTGGCGAAAAGGGAGATGCCGGAGAGGATGGTCCTCCTGTGAGTTCTGTTACATCTGTAAACACCTGCTGCGCTTTAATACGAACATATGATCGTGGAAGGACAGCTCTACTAATTCAAAATAACTCATCAAAGTGGAAAAAATGATTGATGTGTGTTCTTGCCAGGTTTGATGCTAAAAATCAAAGTGGAAAAAATGATGATTGTGTGTTCTTGCCAGGTTTGATGCTAATTGTTACCCAGCTGCGTCTGCCCAATTTCATGGGTATTGGATAGGAGGCACGCTCTCCATTAACACAGTGAGCTGTCAGTGTTCAGTGTGTAATAGCAGAGCAGGACATGTGACAGCGAAAGACCCCAGGCTTCTAGCTCATCATCTCCCGCCGCACACACGTACCTGTCAAGACACACGACGAGCCCTGTTCGGATAATCACACATCTCTGATAAATACATATTCAGAGAACTATATGGGAATATGGGAATATTGAACGGTGATCCCCCCCCCACCTATAGATTCCGCGTATGAATCGTCGAGGCGTGCGTTCACACATCACTTCGCTCAGCTGAATGATTTGACCCAGCTGTCGCTGAGAATCACAGGAGAAAACACATTACTCTTGGACGCAGCAGGACATGGGGCAGAGTGGAGACTTGAAGGGTTATTCCATTGTGGAGCCCGTGTGATAGCCTTAAAGTCTAGAAGGAGCAAAAGACACAAGAGATTTGGTGCAACAAGACATCTTAGTAAACCAATACAATTCAATGAAATAACCATGTACTCACAACTGATTCAGCCCCAAATTTAAGATTTTTGTTTTGTCCTCAGGGTCCCCCCGGTCCCTCTGGTCCTTCAGGTCTGGCTGGTCAACGTGGTATCGTAGGTCTACCTGGACAGCGTGGAGAGAGAGGATTCCCTGGACTGCCTGGACCCTCTGTGAGTCCCATATTGTTGGCCTGCTCACACAGACGGAGCTGTAATTCAGGCTGCAGCCTGCAGGGTTATTTATGAGCGTGCGAATGATAAAAATAAACATGCTGATCCTCTAAACCGCAAGGCATTATTTTAACAGTGACGCAAAAGAAAAAGATTGGACCTGATTGATTATACTAGTCAATAAAGTCTTTTTTTTTTCTTTCCCAAAGTGCATTTGTATTAATGCAGTGGTTAAAAAAACGCCTACACAGTCATTTAAATATAGCCATAGAAAGTACAAGAAGGTAAGGAGCGGCAGAAAAATAGATGATTGTGGTCAGAGCAGGAAGTTATACTGAAGAGCTGAATATGGAGCTGAATTATCACTAAATAACCAGTGCAGTGAATTAAAGAAATAAAATTCACTAAGTCTTTGAGACAAAAATGACCCATGTGAAAATAAATATTTAAGGATTTCTAATCAGAAATGTTAGTGATTGCTAAATTCATTTCTAATTGAAAACGTTGTCAATTGTGTGAAGCGCTAGGTTTTCAAAACTCAAAGAACCTTTATCTAAACTCGAAGGAAGGATTTTTAATGAGAAATCACTTCAGTTTTCACACTAGAAAATATTGAATTCAAAATTAACTTTTATATATATATATAAGCGAGACAGAAATTCCAGGTTCAACCACAAGGTAAATTTAAATATATATTCTGCAAATATAATGCAAAAACTTAATTTCTCTTCATTTTTTCCTCTTCTCAGAATTTTATATTGTTCTAGGCTAAATGTATATATACATATATATATATGTATATATACATGATAAATTGACACGTTTTTTTAAGAGTCTGATTCTTTCTTTCAGGGTGAGCCTGGAAAGCAGGGAGGACCCGGTGGTTCTGGAGACCGTGGACCCCCTGGCCCTGTCGGACCACCTGGACTCACAGGACCTGCTGGAGAGCCTGGCAGAGAGGTCAGAGAATGTCTCTTCCACACAGAATGTCAAATCATGTGTCAGCCCGTGGGTTCACGTCCCGTCATCTCTCGTCATCTGATCCGTCCTGGAGACGGAGTCTTTTGAGAAGAAAAAACGCAGCGGCGCTTGCGTCATATCTGCATTGTTTTTACACATCACGGCTGACGGGTGTTGTTATGACAGGGTTCATTCGGCAGCATATTTAGTATTCAGAAGGACACCAGGTTCAGTGGAGGAGGATGCCGTTAACGCTTGAATGTTTTTCTGTCACATGTCAGGGCACCCCTGGATCTGATGGACCCCCTGGTAGAGATGGTTCTGCTGGAATCAAGGTGGGACAACCACTTCAGATTTATCACATTTTTCCAAAAAAAAAAAATTGTCATTTCTGAGATGAATTAGTGTCTCAGTTCCTGTTCTCCCCGTCTGAACTGATGCTCTCTGTGCAGGGTGATCGTGGCAACACCGGTCCTGCTGGTGCTCCTGGTGCTCCAGGTGCCCCTGGTGCTTCTGGTCCCGTTGGTCCCACTGGAAAACAAGGAGACAGAGGAGAGTCTGTGAGTAGAGCCTTCGACGAAAACAAACACTTAAACACAGCAAATCGCACGAACCTATAGCCCATAAAGACGACTCTCTTTCCTGTCAGGGCGCACAAGGACCTTCTGGACCTTCAGGACCTGCCGGGGCCAGAGGAATGCCTGTATTTATCTTCACGATTTCACACAGAAGCATTTTAAATAATTTCTAACTCGCACATACAAAACTCTATAAGTGTGATTTCTTGCGTTGCTAGGGACCTCAAGGACCTCGTGGTGACAAAGGTGAGGGTGGAGAGTCTGGTGAGAGGGGACAGAAGGGACACAGAGGCTTCACTGGTCTGCAGGGTCTGCCCGGACCTCCAGTAAGACTTCAAAACCAAATATTGAATTCTGTGTTAAATGTTGTCCTGCTGGACTGAAGTGAGTCTTATCGTCGTCTCACTAATGTTCTCTGCTTCTAGGGTCAAGCTGGAGACCAGGGAGCAACTGGACCTTCTGGACCTTCTGGACAGAGAGTAAGTACATATTCACTGAGAGTGAAGTAGGAGACTCTGGAAGGACAAGAATGAATTTAATGGAGGTTTTTTTTTTTTTTTTCTTAACCTGTCCTCGTAGGGACCACCTGGACCAGTTGGACCTTCTGGAAAAGACGGTTCTAACGGTCTGCCCGGACCCATCGGACCACCTGGACCTCGTGGTCGCTCAGGAGAGTCTGGTCCTGCTGTAAGTACTTCCAAACGTGTTTTTCACTTACACTCTATATAATAATTACACCAGATTTAAATATTTATAAATCAACCAATCAAGATCAAATATGTACAATTCAGTTCATGTATTTAAAGCAATAAAAACGACATGTAGCGCAAGATGGGACGGGAGCTGCTGTTAAAACCCACAGACATTTGTGAATCAAATGAGCTTTCTTCTATTTCAGTGCATGCATTGTTTGAACAGGCAGTCAACGTTTTTTTTTGGCAGGAAAATTGAAATGAAAAGAAGCAGCAGATTGCGGAACAGGTGGTAGCATTTCCTCCACCATTCATGGTGGATCGCATCTGACTGGAACAAAAATAGAAAAAGAACAGAGTACTGGGCAAAAAAAGAAATAAATATGTCAATATAATTCCTAAATTCCAAACACAACCTCCCCCTGTCTTCTTCTTCTTCTTCTTCTTCTTCTTCTTCTCTCAGGGTCCTCCAGGAACCCCAGGACCCCCCGGTCCTCCTGGTCCCCCTGGCCCTGGCATTGACATGTCTGCCTTCGCTGGCCTGGGTCAGACTGAGAAGTCTCCTGATCCCCTCAGATACATGAGAGCGGATCAAGCCGGCGGAAACCTGCGTCAGCACGACGCCGAGGTTGACGCCACCATCAAATCCCTGAACAACCAGATTGAGAACATCCGCAGTCCGGAGGGATCGAGGAAGAACCCCGCCCGCACCTGCAGGGACTTGAAGCTCTGTCATCCTGACTGGAAGAGTGGTGAGTGACGGAAGGGGGACGGGAATCAAACCGGGGAGAGGGGGGGGGCGACAGAGATGACGAGTTATAGGAAAATTACGTTTTTGTCGACTTGGGAAAGAATTATATACATCAAAATCATTTCTAGATTTTTTTCAAAATTTTAAATACCAACCGTGGAAATCAGGGGTGTCAAACTCATTTTTACCGGGCGGGGGACACATCAGCAGTCCCCTCGACGGGCCCGTCGTAACCATAAGAGTGTCTACTCCATAATGTATTAATACATGTTCACATCAGCAATCCCCTCGACGGGCCCGTCGTCTACTCCATAATGTATTAATACATGTTTCTGCAATTGATTATTAATTATTCAAGTTACAAATATTGTACATTGGTCTGTAAGACCAAAAAAATTAGCTTAGTTTTATCTCCTACGGGCCACACAAAATAATTTTGTGGGCCACGTTCGGCCCTCGGGCCTTGAGTTTGACGATGGATTTTTGAATTTCTTCCTAAATAATACGCAACTGTGTTGTTGTCGTTGTTGTCCTGCAGGAGAGTATTGGATTGATCCCAACCAGGGTTGCACCGTCGACGCTATCAAGGTCTTCTGCAACATGGAGACGGGCGAGTCCTGCGTCAACCCCAAGCCTGCCGGCATCCCTCGCAAGAACTGGTGGTCCAGCAAGAGCAAGGAGCGCAAGCACGTTTGGTTCGCAGAAACAATGAATGGAGGATTCCAAGTAAGTGTTCACATCAGAGACGGTGATATTTATTTCCTTCTCGGAACCTCGAGCGGCTCTAACCCCATCTCCGCGTGTGACCCCCCCCCTCGCAGTTCAGCTACGGCGACGACAGCCTGGCGCCCAACACCGCCGCCATTCAGATGACCTTCCTGAGACTGCTGTCCACCGAGGCCTCGCAGAACCTCACCTACCACTGTAAGAACAGCGTGGCCTACATGGACGACTCCACGGGGAACCTGAAGAAGGCCGTGCTGCTGCAGGGCTCCAACGACGTGGAAATCAGAGCCGAAGGCAACAGCCGCTTCACTTACAGCGTAATGGAGGACGGCTGCACGGTGAGACTGGCCCATCCGCCTTCCCACGGATCACCTAGTTTTTAAAGCCGTGATGTAATGAAACGGTGTCGGACAGACAAGTGAATTGTATTTTGTATGAGTTCAGACTCGTTAATCCTTCTGTGTCAAAGGATGGAGGTTCATATTATATTTTGTATGAGCTCAGACTCGCTAATCCGTCTGTGTCAAAGGATGGAGGTTCATATTTTTTTTTTTCAATTTTTTCCCTGTCTTCACAGAGACACACTGGCCAGTGGAGCAAGACAGTGATGGAGTACCGCTCACAGAAGACCTCTCGTCTACCCATCGTGGACATTGCCCCCATGGATATCGGTGGCGCGGACCAGGAGTTTGGAGTTGATGTCGGGCCAGTCTGCTTCTTGTAAAAAAAAAAAAACTAAATGAGAGATCAAAAAGATTAGGAAAAGAAAAAAAAAAGTTGGCAGAGAATCTCACTTAGAGAAAGAGAGAAGAGAGAGAGAGAGAGAGAGTTAAAAAAAAAAAAAAAAAACAAGACACTTTTTTTTTTTTTAAAAAAACAGGACTTTTTCTAATTAAAGAAGTGCTTTCTACAAGTCGAACTCCGTAGGATTTCTGCACTGAATGGCACTAGCAACTGTCATCTGTGATTCCTCCAGTATTGTCTTCCAACAACTTACCTTCGCCCTATGGATACCCAGCTTTCCCCAAAACTGCGCCCCCCCAACAACCCCCCCAACGGAGGAAGTTTGAGGAGAGAATGGAAACATACCAGGGAACTAAAGAGAGTAAAGATGGCCGGAGTTATTTATTTATTGTTTCGATTTGGCTCCCAGGTGCAGACAAAATGCCCACTTCCACATGTTTAAGAAAACGACGGCGTCCTCCAGCTTCCTCCTTTCTTTCCAACCCCACGTTTCCAGTTACGTATCCACCAAATAAAATTAAAAAAAAAAAAAAAACCTCTTTAAAACCCAAATCTCTTGCTTTGTAGAAAGTGCAGGTGCTTTTATTTTTTACCACCAACAGCGTGTAACGAGAAATTTTCTATGTAATAAAAGAAAAGTCAATGGTGCTATTGTTCTTAAACAGTCTGTATTTTTTTTTTTTTTTTTTTTTTTTAAAAAGGAATCAGTGACCTGTATATATGTATGAAGGTATACATATACACATTTAACTTTGGATTTCAGGGTAGATGGGTAAACTCCCCTTCGGTTTTGGTCCCTTAGACAAACGTACAAATACTTTCTCTGGTGAATTTTTTTTTCCTCTTTCTATTTTCTATTTTAAAGCTACCTCACACTAAAAAAACACAACTCCGTGAAATGACTGATGATTGGATTATATCAGCCCTGAATCCTTGTTTACAAATGTCACGTTTGACAGGAAATAACAATGAGATCAATAATCTGAAGAAAAAAAAAAAAAAAAAAATCTCAGTCTTCTGCCCACCTACCCCCCCAATTGCTGTGACTTTTAACCCCTTCCGCCCCTTCCGACCCGTCCCTCCGACCTCCCATCAGTCGTTACACACAGGGCGTGCCCTCTGCCTTAGCATACACATCCACACATCTGAGAAGGTTCACGGCGTGTTTGACTTTGTTGGCTCCATTTTCTGTACAGACCGGGGGCAGAGGGTTCATTTGTGTGAGTTTGTGTATATTTTTATTATTAATAATAGCATTATTATTAATAATAATAGCATTATTATATTATTATTATTATTATGGTCATGACATTTTGTTTTGTTTTTTTTTTTGTTACGTTTTAATTAATGTAAATTGGAAATAAAAGACAAAACCAAGTAACAGGCTGAAGTTGCACTTTTTTTTGTATTCTCTTCATGAAATCCCGAAAGAAGCCTTAAAAAAATTATTTATAGTTATATAGTTATTTGCACGAACACGCGCACAGGTTTTGATCATTTGTGAGCAGTCCACATAGACGTTTCGCATTCCCTGGCTCTTTACCTTAACTATTTGAATAAATGCCCAATCTTGTAATTTACGCTCATTCAAAAGGATCATTCAGCTAAATCTTGAGAAAATATCGCCACAATAGCTTGTCACTAAAATATTCCCACAAAAAAAACAAAAACACACACACATATATAAACAAATACATATATGCATATAAACATGTACATATATATTTTAGTAAGAATTCAGTTTTTGTAAAAAATAAAAAAAAAAAGTTGTTGGGTTGTTGAGATTACCCTTCAGCGCCCCCTGCAGGGGGTTTGTGTTTTCAAGGAAAACAGACAACATGGAGACACTGATAATGCTCACCAAAAGTTTTCAGGGTTTGTTTGTTTTTTGTTTTTTTTTAAGAGTTTTCAGGGTTTGTTTGTTTTGTTTTTTTTTTAAATAATAGAAAAATCCACCATTTTTATTTCAAATTTCAAACTGTTTCCTGAACAGCAAAGACATTTAACACTGAAATTGTAGACAGACTACGTCTAATTCACAGAACCCTTCGTTTGGACAACACACGTCTTCCTCTGTGAGCGTCAGAACAAAGGACACACTAGGCACAGTACACGAGACAAAGGTCAGTGGTGGACGCCAAGATTTCTGTGGTTTTTACTTACGCGACTATCCGACTGAACGCAACACATTTACACTGCACTACATCTATGAACGCGCGAAGAACTCCGTAATCCTACACATTAATCCGACTTTTAACCAGATTAAAAACATATATATGGGATGCTACACATATGCTATGAGCTACATGTCCACATAACAATGCTAATGTGCTACTAATTAGCAGTTGTTGTTGATGTTGATGTTTACAACAAACGTTAAAAACATTGGATGTGCGCGTTACCTTGTTCAAAGTCAAATTAGCGGGAACATTCATTTCAACAATACAGTTCTTTTGGTCAAAAGAAGAAGAAAAAAAAATAAGGGTGCCTCTAATGTTTTAAAAAATAAATAAACTTATCACAAATCGCGAGGCTAACACAGCTAGGCTATGCTAACGCGGCTAAAATATCTTGCATGCTCGGTTGTTAGCAGACGATTTCACTTGAAAACAATAAATAGAATTCTTTTTCAGTCGTGGTTCTAATAGTAGCTGACGAAGATTAAAGTTGGGAGATGACGAAAATGAATGTATTTTGTTTTTTTACTGAGACTGAGGATGCTGTTCTGCATTTCTCACTTTCCTGTAGAAAATGTACAGACTGCTACGTTTAATACTATCACATTGTATTCAAATAAAATCTAAAATTAGGCCTTTTTTCACCCCCCATTTCTTTGCTTTGTTATTTTGTTTGTTCCATTTACTCTGCGCCGAATACACAGTACTACAGTACTTTGACCAGCCTTCACTTCGTCCGCCTCACGCTTGGAATGTTTTCAAAGGTAACGTATATTTATAATCAGTGCAAACAACTGAGTCCGTATGGAAAACGTGAGAAGGAACAATTTGTGCAGAGCAATCAGCGCTGAGAGGAAGTCGGACTCCGGAGATTAATTAAAGCTCGATGGATAAATTGCTTTCCTAATCTGATCTATGACAAAGATTCCATTTCTGGTTTGGATTTCTCTGTGATGCTCAGATGCACGTACACTACGCTAAGGCGCGGAAATATTTCAGACTCCGACTCCTGCAGCTAAGAGACGGTATTGTTCACCTCTACAGTTAATGGGTCCCTGAGAATAAACTGAGATCCACTGTTCCTCCCTGACATGGCAACCGCATCAGGATTTGTAAGCGAAGTCAATCAGTCTGCACAAAACAAGGAAATGCATCGAAAAAAAACAAACAAACGACGTCCACGTAGAACTGAGCTCAACAGAATATTCAAACACGCTTGAAGCCGCACACTGTCCCCTTTGGGGCCTGATTAACATACTCCACCTGATTAGTGTCTTTCAAGTGTGCGACGGGGTCAGCTGGTCAAAGACTCCTAATTAGAGACTAATGAAAGATAAAAGGCTGCATCATCATCGGGAGCAAAGACGAAAGAGGAACAAAATAACGAAGCGCAAAGAAGGAAGGGCCGCTTCAGAAAATATCTTCATTTACATCCCTTTAAATTTCATCCTTTGTCTCCGGGGCAGATTGTAAAAAAAAAAAAAAAAAAAAAAAAAAAAAAAAAAAGGAGTCCGCTAAATACGCACCTGTTCGTTTTCATCACGCTAGAGAAAACACACTTGAATTCAACTCACAAAGGGAATCTGTCGTGTGATGTTAATCAAATTTCATTCATTTCCACAACTGTTTTTTTTAAAAAAAAAAAAAATCTTAAATAATATTTTAGAAACCAGTGCTTAGAGTGTCCGTCTCAGTGGGAGTTTTCCGTGGACTGGGCAAACTCTTCAGGTACTCCAAATGCCTGCGGGCCTCAGCTTGGTTCTGCCGGACGTAGTAGACAACGTAAACGATGACCATGAAGAACCACACGAACATCGTCACCAACATGGCCACGTCCGTGGTCTTTCTCTGCAGGCTGCAGAAATTCACCCCGGAGTCCAAAAGCTTGACCAACGGCTGTCCCGCGTGATCCCCGTGCGACCCCGGGTCCTCCCACCTGCTGCCCTCGCCGACCACCCGCACGGAGCTCTCGCAGATAATCCCGTTCACCGTTTCGGGCTCCAGGTTCAGGGACTCCATCAGCTCCTGGAGGGTGCAGTCGCAGTGCCAGGGGTTGTGGTAGAGGCGCGCCTTGGCCTGGGTGGAGCCGAACTCTTCCTTGCTGGCCTGCCTCAGCAGGTTGTGC